GGGGTTTTCTTAATCAGGTGGAGTACCATTTTGAGGCCTCACCAGGGTCATTCCCCACGGACAGAGCAAGAATTGGTTATCTAATGAATCAATTAAAGGGCAAGGCCCTTGCCTGGGCTAATCCGTTGTGGGAGAGTAATCGGAGCATAGCTCATAATTACCAGGAATTCCTTGCCGAATTCAAGCTCACGTTTGAGCCATTGGGTAGAGAGGATGACGCCTCCACTGCCCTAATGCACATCAGACAAGGTAACCGGTCTATCTCGGATTATGCTATTGAATTCCGTACCTTAGCTTCCGAGGTAGACTGGACTAACAATGGGTTAATCTCAGCATTCAAAAAGGGTCTCTCAGAGACTATACTAGATGAGATAGCCGCTAAAGAATTACCTAAGTGTCTTAACGAATTTATTATGTTTGTTATGCATATTGATAATAGGTTAAGACTCAGAGAAGTCACCAGAAGCAAGACCAGACGTACGGCTATGTCCCTAGCACCTCAATTCTCTAAACCTGTTTTGTCTAACCTCCCTGTACAGTCGAACCCGAACCTATGCAGTTGGGGGTCACTAGACTGTCAGAGGCCGAAAAACAGTATAGGAGAAAGGAGGGGTTATGCCTATATTGCGGTAGAAAGGGACATATGATAACTAATTGTCCAGTGCGTCCGGAAAACTTCCGCACCTAAGAACCTTAAGGGGACAGATCTTAGGTGTGATGGAGTTGTCCTCTAACAAAAACAAAAGTAGATTCCTCCTTGAGGTATCTATTTCCCTTGATAACAAGAAGTTTTCTTGCAGTGCCCTAATGGACTCAGGTGCTGCTGGAAATTTTATTGATGTCCAGTTTATTAGGGGTAATGAGATACCGGTCAGGGAGAGACCTACGCCGCTAGCTGTAGAGGCTATTGATGGTAGACCACTCACACAACCGCTTATAACCCACGAAACTGTCCCTATTACGATCTCCATTGGGGCCTCCCATAGGGAGGAGATGACGTTTCAGGTTATTACTTCTCCATCATGTCCTATCATATTAGGGTTTCCATGGCTGAGTAAGCACAATCCCTATATTGACTGGGCTAATGGGGAGATATTAGAATGGGGTAAAGAGTGTATGGGGAGATGTATAAAACCAGTACTAAAGAAATTAGATACTATTGACCTTCCCACTACCACTCCCCAAACTCCTGGAGTTCCCATACAATACCGAGAACTTCAGGAGGTGTTTAACAAGGCTCAATCCGATGTATTGCCTCCCCACAGAGCATATGACTGTGCCATTAACCTGTTTCCAGGCGCTATGCCACCTAAGGGGGCAGTTTATGCCTTATCTCCCCAGGAGAGTAAAATAATGGAGGAATACATCAAAGAATCCTTGAGCAAAGGGCACATAAGAAAGTCATCCTCACCAGCTGGTGCAGGATTCTTTTTTGTTGAGAAAAAGGGTGGTGAGTTACGCCCTTGCATAGACTACAGGGCACTTAATAAAATCACTGTAAAAAATGCATACCCTATCCCACTCATTTCCGAATTGTTCGATAGACTTCAGGGAGCTAAAGTATTTACTAAGCTTGACCTTAGGAGCGCTTACAATTTGGTTAGAATTAAAGAGAATCATGAGTGGAAGACGGCATTTAATACCCGTAGTGGACACTATGAATATCTGGTAATGCCATTTGGGTTATGCAACGCCCCGGCCGTATTCCAAGACTTTATAAATGATGTACTCAGGGAATTCATTTACTCATTTGTCTTGGTTTATTTGGACGATATTTTGGTGTATTCCCCTGATCTTCAAACTCACCACTCCCATGTGAAACAGGTTCTGCAGACGTTGTTGAAAAATAAACTTTATTGTAAATTAGAAAAGTGCATATTTGACCAGCCTGAAGTCCACTTTTTGGGTTACAACATCTCTGCATCGGGATTTCAAATGGATCCTAAAAAACTAGAGGCTGTACTACACTGGCCATTACCCTCTGGTTTAAAAGCCATTCAAAGGTTTATTGGTTTTGCCAACTATTACAGAAGATTCATCAAGGGATTTTCTTCTGTAATAGCCCCAATCACAAATATGACTCGCAAAGGGGTTAGTAGCACGGTATGGTCCAAAGAGGCTGTGAATGCTTTTGAGACTCTTAAACAAAGATTTGCCTCTGCGGACATACTAAAACATCCTGACACCAGTAAACCTTTTATATTGGAGGTTGATGCATCCGAGACAGGGGTAGGGGCTGTTCTCTCTCAGAGAGAAAGCCAGGGAACACCATTGCATCCTTGTGGCTACTTCTCCAGAAAGATGTCTCCTGCTGAGCGCAACTATGATATTGGCAATAGAGAACTGTTGGCCATTATTCTTGCCCTCAAGGAGTGGCGACATCTTTTGGAGGGTTCCAAGGACCCCCTGTTGATCATAACCGACCACAAAAATCTGGCATATATAGGGGATGCCAAACGCTTGTCTTCCAGACAGGCTAGATGGTCACTGTTCCTTTCACGTTTTAACTTTCTCATTACTTATAGACCTGGTTCTAAAAATACCAAGGCTGATGCCTTGTCCAGGCAATTTGATAATGAGTCAGCTCCGGAACAGGTGACATCTCCTATTATTCCACCAGAGTGTATTATTGCTACTACTGTCCTCTCACTGTCTTCTCCACTGCTTGGCACCATACTGGAGGCCCAGCCTCAGGCGCCCAGTGGTAAACCGTGTGATAAACTGTTCGTTCCCCTATGTGAAAGGGTTAATATCATGAAAGTGTTCCATGACAATATAACTGCTGGACACCCGGGCATCAATAAGTCCACTGCCGCGATCACTAGATCATTTTGGTGGGATTCAATCAGGAAAGATGTAAAGGAGTATGTGCAGGCATGTTCTGTGTGCAGTTTCTAAGGTGACTCATGCACTTCCTTATGGCCTGTTGCAGCCTCTTCCTGTTCCTGAGATTCCATGGTCCCACCTATCCATGGACTTTATTGTTGAGCTTCCTAGCTCTGCTGGGTTCACTACTATTCTCATGGTTGTAGACTGATTTTCTAAGATGGCTCACTTCATTCCTCTCAAGAAGTTGCCATCTTCGCAAGATTTGGTCCTAATTTTCATACGTGAAATTGTCCGTTTGCATGGCATCCCCCACAATATTGTGTCTGATAGGGGCTCTCAGTTTGTGTCCAGGTTCTGGAGGGCGTTCAGTAAACAATTGGGGATTGATCTCTCCTTCTCCTCCTCCTACCATCCACAGACCAATGGTACAGCTGAGAGGGCTAACCAGTCATTAGAAGTTTATTTGCGTTGTTTTATTAATAGCACACAAGACAATTGGTCCGAACTACTTCCGTGGGCCGAGTTTCCTAGAAACAATGCTGTTCATGACTCCTCTGGGCACAGTCCATTTTTTGTCAATAATGGTAGGCATCCTAGGGTTCTCCCTGCGGTATTTTCTGATACTGCCATTCCTGCTCTGGATGAGCGTCTGGCCTCCATTCGGGATACCTGGATTAAGGTTCAAACTGCTCTAGGGGCTGCTGCTGAACGCTTCAAACATTTTGCTGATAAGCGTAGGAGTGCCAACCCGGTGTACCAAGTGGGGACCGGGTTTGGTTGTCATCTCGCAACATCAAGCTTAAGGTCCCTAGCATGAAGTTTGCCCCCAAATTCCTTGGTCCCTATAGAGTGCTTCGTAGGATCAATCCAGTGTCTTACTCTCTGGCTCTTCCTGCATCTTTAGGGATTCCCAACACTTTTCATGTGTCCTTACTCAAACCTCTTGTCTGCAATAGATATACTGTTCCTTGTGTTCCTCCCCCTCTGGTGGTGGTGGGTGGTCAGGAGGAGTATGAGGTATCTTCTATCGTGGATTCTAGGTTTTCTCGGGGCACTTTACAGTACTTGGTTGTTTGGAAAGGTTACGGTCCTGTATGATCGTTCTTGGGTTTCGGCTCCTGACCTGCATGCAGGCCATAAGATCCGCGCTTTTCACGCCAAATTTCCTCTCAAGCCTGGTCCTGCTTGCCCGGTGGGCGTTCTTCAGGTGGGGGGGTAATGTCACGTATTCATCCGCTTATAGAAATGTGGTTAATGACATTTACTGTCCACACAGGAAAAGTTGTGCCGAGCAGCAACCTAATCCACAGAAGGGTTAATGCTGAGCAGTAATTGTGCAACTGAAACCTGGTGTCACGTATTCATCCGCTTATAGAAAAGTGGTTAATGACATTTACTGTCTACACAGGAAAAGTTGTGCCGAGCAGCAACCTAATCCACAAAAGGGTTAATGCTGAGCAGCAATTATGCAAATGAAACCTGGTAACTGACTTTGGGGTCAAAGGCCGGTTACAGCCTATCAGAAAGAAAGGAGGGGTATTTAGGCCCAGTTCTCAGCCTGCTCAGTGCCCCGTCGTGGTTTCCCTTGTGGTTGTCTGAGAGCGCGTTCCTGTTTATAGTTTTCTACCTGGTTTTTGACTTTGGCTTTGTTTATTGACTTCTCTATATTCTGGTATCCTGACTCCTGGCTTTCCTCATCGCTGTGTCCCTTTCTGTGTTCCCTGACCTCGCTAGTATTTTTGACTATTCTTTGTACGTTAAATCCGGCCATTCTAAGGACCGGTAATATGTTACTTATTTGTCATCCGTGCAGTACAGTTCTACGTGCTGGATCAAACAGTAATCCTGACAGCCTGGTAGCGGCATATTCTATAAACATAACATAACATTGGCAATAGGATAGTATAACATCTTAATCTTATACACAGTTTAGTGCAAATTTAAGGCACAGAGTTTAGAATTAACGAAAAGGATATGCTTGTGTGACCATGCTTGTGTGCTCAGGTTGCTTTGTCTCCGGGCGAGGCATGGGCATCGGTTCCTTTTTGGGTCAGCCTATGTCTCTTCCTCGGAGTTCTCTGCCATTTAGGTCATTGCTGCTTCTGCTTTGGTGGGGGACCTGACAGGCTGGTCCAGTCCTCCACCTTGGATGGTGGCAGATTCAAGTCCCTCTAGAAGTCGGGTATATCCGCTGGCGTAGTAATGGTGTGAGTCTTATCCTTATAGGTCACTGTTAAAGCAAATGAGAAGTTCCACCTGAACTTGATTTGTCTTTCCATTAGAGCCTGTGTGATAGGTCGTAAGGCCCTTCTTGCCTGCAGAGTGGACGATGATAAGTCTTGGAACACGGTCACCTGATGGCCGTCGACCGATAGTTCTTTATTTTGGCGGGCTTTATGAAAGATCTCCTCTTTCAGAGGGAAGTTATGTATTCTCCATATAATGTCTCGTGGCCTGTCTGGGGGTAGATTTCTAGGCCTTGCTGCTCTGTGGGCTTTGTCGAACTGGATGGCCGTTTCTGGGGGTCTGGCAAGAATATGGTTGAAGAAGGTTGTTAAGATCTGTATGGGGTTCTCTGTGGTGCCGTCCGGCCCCTCAGGTATACCTCTTACCCTCAGGTTGTTTCGTCGTCCCCGATTGTCAACATCTTCCATCCTCCTTTGCAGGTGTCTGATGGCTTCAGAGTGTGTCTCTTATGTAGTGTGGCATTCAGCCCACTGCCTGTCAGCAATTTCATTTTCTTCTTCCAAGGCCTGCACTCTATTTCCTAGTTGCTGCACATCTGCGCTCACTGCCTGGAGTTTTTCGCTAAAACTGTCCTCTAGCCTTTGAAACATGGATGCAAGGTCAGTTTTGGAGGGCAGTTGGGTTAGTATTGCCCTAATATAGGATTCCTCCGCCGAGCATTCCGATGCTGATGGGCTGGACAGCTGGCTGCCTCGTGTGTTTCCCGCGGGCGCCATCTTGCCGCGTCCTTGCGGGTCTGATTGCTCCGTGAAAAATCTCCGTAGGGATGTTTTGGCAGCTGGGGAAACCGTCGCTGGGGTGTTCCCCGCATTGCTGCGGTTCTTTTTGGTTGCCATGTGTGCTGTTGGATGCCAGGAATCCCCTATTGCTCTCGGTCAAGGACGGAGCTCAGGATTCATGCATCCATGCACCTCGGTGTCTTGGCCACGCCTCCAGTCTATAATTTTAATGGTAGGTGTATTTTAACAGTGAGATACTGAATAACAAAAAAATAAAAAATCCCCAAAAAAGCATGTCAAAAAAGTTATATATTGAATTGCATGTCATTGAGTGAAATAAGTATTTGATCCCCTATCAATCAGCAAGATTTCTGGCTCCCAGGTTTCTTTTGTACAGATTAAAGGAAGTGCACCTAATCTCAGCTCGTTACCAGTATAAAAGACACCTGTCCACAGAAGCAATCAATCAATCAGATTCCAAACTTTCCACCATAGCCAAGACCAAAGAGCTGTCCAAGGATGTCAGAGACAAGATTATAGACCTACACAAGGCTGGAATGGACTACAAGACCATTGCCAAGCAGCTTGGTGAGGAGGTGACAACATGTAACAGATCCCCTATACTCTGACAGAGTATATCCGATTATCCGCTGTAAGTCTCCCAAATTCCAAGTGATGCAGTGATTGTAGCTCCCAAGTCCCCAAACATCAGCCTAGACTTGATGAAGGGCAAAACAAATCTGTTTAATCCAGGCTCAATGGCCTGCTTTTGTTTAATACAGGGACACAGTAAACACACCCATGACACTCCCACAACACACCCATAAACACACCTACAAAATGTCTCCAAAATGCCATGTGACCATGACTAAGCATTAAATGACAAAATATGAAAAACACACAAAAATATATATTTCCCACATAGGAACTCCCACAGTCTATACATCCCCAGGTAGCCTGGATCTGAGCGCCCAACATATGCGAAAAGCGCTCGGATCCCACAAACAGAGCCAAAACGTGACCGTGGGGAATTTCTGACTGGCCGCACACATGGTCCTATGCCCAAAACAGTTCCAGTTCATTTTGTCCTTTTGCCGGTCAGCTTTGGGAGTTCTATGCAAATTAAATACTGAACGCACACTCTGGCCTCTTGGTAGCAACGTACCGAATGGCACTCTCATAAGGAGAGGTTAACAAGGGTCAATAAGCTCAGAGATGGTCCGCAGTTCGGTTCCCGAACAGTCCAAGGGAATCCCACAAACCAAGTCTTTTAATAGCCTTTTAGCATGGCCCATAGTCAGTGGGCAGGAGGCTAGCCTCCACACTCCAATGGCGAATGTACAGGCAAAGGGGCGTTCATCACACAACAGTCGATGCGATTATTTGCAGATGGAAGAAACACAAAATAACTTTCAGTCTCCCTCGGTCTGGTGCTCTGGTACTCTCACCTTGTGGAGCTTAAATGATCATGAGACTGGTGAGAAATCAGCCCAGAACTACACAGGAGGATCTTGTTAATGATCTCAAGGCAGCTGGGAAAATAGTCACCAAGAAAACAATTGGTAACACACTACGCCGTGAAGGACTGAAATCCTGCAGCGCCCAATAGGTCCCACTGCTCAAAAAAAGCACATGAACAGGCCAGTCTATAGTTTGCCAATGAACATCTGAATGATTCAGAGGAGAACTGGTTTTAAGTGTTATGGTCAGATGAGACCAAAATGGAGCTCTTTGGCATCAACTCAACTCGTGTTTGAAGGAGGAGGAATGCTGCCTATGACCACAAGAACACCATCACCTCGTCAAACATAGAGGTGGAAACAGTATGCTTTGGGGTTGTGTTTCTGCTAAGGGGACAGGACAACTGTACTGCATCAAAGAGACGTCAAATCTTGGGTGAGAACCTCGTTCCCTCAGCCAAGGCATTAAAAATGGATTGTGGATGGATATTCCAGCATGACAATGACCCAAAACACACAGCCAAACCTGGTGACCAACTACAAGTAACATCTGACCTCTGTGATTGCCAACAAGGGTTTTGCCACCAAGTACTAAGTTGAAGGGGTCAAATACTTATTTTACTCATTGACATGCAAACCAATTTATAACTTTTTTTTTTATATGTGTTTTTCGGGATTTTTTTTGTTTTGTTTTGTTATTCTGTCTCTCACTGTTAAAATACACCAACCAGTAAAATTATAGACTGATAATTTCTTTGTCGGTAGGCAAACATTCAAAATCAGCAAGGGATCAAATACTTTTCCCCCTCACTGTATGCCCCTGTATTCAAACTCCTACACAGCATGCAGATATGTCCCTGCATTCAATGCACAAAAACACAGCCATGCACTACAAAAAAAAATTCAAATACACTCCTGCATTCATACACAAACACTAAACACAAACAGCCCTACATTCCAACCCCAACAATGCACACAAACATACCCGTGCATTGAAACACCACAACTACACATATACACATCCCTGCAAATGCACACACTACACACAAGTACATTCAAACGCCAACACTGCACACACATACACCACTGCATTCAAATGGCAACAGTACATACAAGCACACAACTGTTTTCAATTACGAATACTACACAGAAATACACCTTTTTTATTGTTGATAAATAAATTACATTTATGACATAATGTAAAGTTTTTCTTCTTTGCGTGTGTGTTTATATAAATTTGGCATTTGGCCTCCCATACCTATTTCAGTGGACATTTTGGCCCTCAAGAACAAATGAGCTTAACACCCTTGATTGCAGGATTATTCACTAAAGTGATAATTTAAGGTTAATTCAAATTTTAGGTCAAAATTGAATTTCAAATTTAGGGCCTGAGTAGCTGAACTGAATGCAGGGCTTGGCTCAGGAGAGTTAATAGAAGCTCCTAAGCAAGAGCTTCCTCCTAAGCAAGAACTTCTGGCTGAGGTAGTTGAACCAGGGAGCAGTGCCTGGCTATTTGATTACTTACAATGGGAGGCACTAGGGCATTCCTGGCGATAACCACTATAGCATTCTGTAATGGTTATGGTGCTTGAAGTGCTCCTTTAATATACTCATGTCATTAGGCCTATCACAATATTCAGCTCCACACCCATGAGGCCCTGTCAGAATGTTTGAGCATGTGAAAGTTGCATAGTAACATAGTTACATAGCTAACAAGATACATGGGTAGATCAAGTTCAGCCTTTCTCACATCTGATTTTGCTTTTGAACCAAAAGAAGGCAAAAAACACAGTTTGAAGCGCTTTCCAATTTTGCAACAAATTAGGAAAAAATTTATTCTTGATCTCAAAATGGCAGTCAGATCTCTCTTTAGTTTAAGAAGCTATTACCCCATAAATTAAAAATGATATCTCTGAATATTATTTTTGCCAGTATTCATCCAGTTGCTGTTTGCCGAGACTCTAATAAAACCAACTCTTCAGCAGGGAATTCCACATTTTTATTGTTCTTACTGTAAAAAAATTTCCTTTGCCTTAGACTAAATCTCATTTTTTCCAGTCTAAATGTGTGACCCTGTATCCTATGTATAATCCTGTTTATAAACAGATTTCCAGAAAATGGTTTGTATTGACCCCAAATATATTTGTATAATGCTTGCATATCCCGCCTGAGACTCGGTTTTTCTTAACTAAACACTTTTGAATTTGTTAACTTTTCTTGATAATGAAATGATCTGTTCCTTTTATTAATTTTGTAGCCAACTCTGCTAGTTCCATAATAACCTTCTTTAGAACAGGTGCCGAAAATTGCACAGCAGATTCAAGGTGTGGTCTTGCTATTGATTTATAAAGAGGCAAAATTATATTTTCATCAAGAAAATTAATGCCTTTTTTTATACATAACAATACCTTACTGGCCTTACCAACTGCTGATTGACAATGAACATTGTTGCCTAATTTGCAGTCTATTACAATTCTCAAATCCTTCTTATTTGTTATCCCTAATTCACTACCATTTTGTGCATTCTTTACCCCGAAGTGCATAACATTGCATTTTTATAATTTAATCTGCCAAATGAGTGCCTAGTCCCCCAATAGGGATTTAGGACAGTATGCAAGTAACTAATTTCTTTGGTATTTATAGTCCCCCAAACTATCTATATCCCTCTGCAGCAAAATGATATCTTGCTCACATTGTATTACTTTACAGAGTTTTGTGTAATACACAAACACTAAAACATGACTTTTAATGCCAATTTAAGATAATTAAAAAATATGGTAAATAGAAGCAGTCCCAGAACAGAGCCCCGAGGAGCATCACTTAACCACTTTTGTCCATTTACCATTAACACAATGTCATTTACCATTAATGACAACTCTCTGTACTCTATCTTTAAGCCAATGTTCCACCCAAGAATAAGAAATTTAATCTGCAACAATTTCTTTTCGTTTGAATACTAACCTATTGTGTGGAACATTATCAAACGCCTTGACAAAATCCAAGTAGATCACTGTGACAAATGCTCCTTCCCACGTACATTTGCCACAGACTCCTGGAGGAGTGTAGAAGCCGGCCTCCTGCCCACCGACTAGGGTCCGGGTCTGGGACACCATTTGGGAGTTACCCTGCCCAGCCACCATAAGTAGCTTTCCCTGGGTGCCTGAGACCAAGGGGAACAAACGCTACCTAAGAGCCAGGAGCTCCTGAAAGTTGACCAGCAAAAGCACC